AAAAAAAGTGAAAAAAAAGCAATAAAAAAAAAATTCAAAAGAAAAGATATTAATAATTTTTTTTTAAAAAAAAAACAAACTAAAAAAATCAAAAACACATACTTGATCCTAAAGTTGAGCAAAAGTTAAAAAAAGAAAAACATTAAGCGAAAGTTAAAAAAAACAAAATGTTGAGTAAAAGTTAAAAAAAGACAAAACATCAAGTGAAAGTTAAAAAAAGACAAAACAACAAATATAAAAAAAAATCTTCGAAAGACAAAAAAAAACAAAAATAAACAGCAATTAGCAGTATTTATATATAATTACTAATCTTAAAATTGATTAGCTGATTATATATAATCATCACAGTAACAGATTACTATTGTATTTTTGCTTTAAAAAAAATTTTATTTTTTAAATAAAATCACTGGTCGAAAACTAGGAATTCAACTTGATCGAATTATAATAATATTCGGCAACAAATCGACTGCTTTTTTTAAAAATCGGTTGCTTCAATATTAATTCGACCTAATTTAGTTAAAAATTCAACAACTGAATTTTAATAAAATTTGACTATGCTGATTTCTTTATTAATTCGACCTAATTTAGTCAAAAATTCGACAACTAAATTTTAATAAAATTCGACTATGCCGATTTCTTCAATAATTTGACTTAAATTAGTTAAAAAATTTAACAACTAAATTTTAATCAAATTCGACTATACCGATTTCTTCAATAATTCGATCTAAATTAGTCAACAATTCAACAACTGAATTTTAATCAAATTCAACTATGCTGATCTCTTTAATAAATCAATCTAAATTTAGTCAAAAATTCCTTAGTTGAATTTTAATCAAATTTGACCTCACTGATTTCTAGAATAATTCGAGACAGATAAATTTTATAAAATTCAACCCTACCGATTTTTAAAATAATTCGATCTAAATTTAGTTAAAAATTCGAAATTGAATTTTGAAATCGAATTTTTGTTATATCATTTTTTATATAAAAAATTAAATCATATTCGACTACATAACTAGCTTCATTATAAAATTCATGCTGTATTCTACTTTATAATAGTATCAATTAAAGCATGTCATAATCATAAAAAATCAAACCATATTCGATTATATAATCAGCTTTATTATAAAATTCATGCTGTATTCAATTAAAGCATGTTATAATCATCTTTATATAAAAAATCAAACTATATTTGACTATGTAATCAGCTTTATTATAAAATTAAAGTGTGTTATAATCATCTTTATATAAAAAATCAAATCATATTTGACTATATAATCATCTTCATTATAAAATTTATGCCATATTCTACTTTATAATAGTATCAATTATAATACGTCATAATTAGTTTTACTAGAAAAAATCGAACCATATTCGACTACATAATCAGCTTTTTAATAAAATTCATATCAAATTAAAGCACATCATAATCAAAAAAAATCGAACCATATTTGACTATGTAGAATAAAAAATCAAACTACATTTGATCTATCAAATTAAAGTGTATTATAATCAGCTTTATAATAAAAAATCGAACTACATTTGACTTATCAAATTAAAGCACATCATAATCAGTTTTACAATAAAAAATTGAACCACATTTGACTTTAAATCAAGTAGCAAATTAAAGCATGTCATAATCAGCTTTACAATAAAAAATCAAACCATATTTGACTTTAAATTAAGTAGCAAATTAAAGCACGTTATAATCAGCTTTATAATAAAAAATCGAACTACATTCAACTTTGTAATCAAAGCATCAAACTAAAGCATATTATAATTAGCTTTACAATAAAAAATCAAACCATATTCGACTTTATAATCAAGTAGCAAATTAAAATATGTCATAGTAGAGTATAATATAAAAAATAAATTTCTTATAAATATGCGCTACTTTTATAAAAAAACAGCTTGTTGCTTATTATAGTAACTTATTCATTACAAACTACTACTTAATCTCTCTCTCAATCTCTTTAATCTTTTAACCTTTCAATCTCTCTTTCTCTGTTTCTTAATTTCTCTTAATCTTCTTTTCTCTCTCTCTTAATCTCTCTTTCTGTCTCTCAATTTCTCTCTCTTTCTCTCTTTTTCTGTCTCTCAATTTTTCTTTGTTTCTCAATCTCTCTTTCTTTCTTTCTCTCTGTCTTTCAATCTCTCTTTCTGTCTCTCAATCTCTCTCTCTTTCTTTTTCTCTCTTTCTTTGTCTTTCAATCTCTTTCTGTGTTTCTCAATCTCTCTCTGTCTCTCTTTGTCTCTCAATCTTTCTTTCTGTCTCTCAATTTCTCACTCTCTCTCTCTTTTTGTTTCTCAATCTTTCTTTCTGTCTCTCAATCTCTCTTTCTCTCTTTGTCTCTTAATCTTTCTCTCTGTCTTTTAACCTCTTTCTCTTTTTCTCTGTCTCTTAATCTCTCTCTCTGTTTCTCAATCTCTCTCTCTGTCTCTCTCTGTTTCTCAATCTCCCTTTCTGTCTCTCAACTTCTCTTTCTCTCTTTTTTTCTCTCTCTGTCTCTCAATCTCTCTCCTGTCTCTCAATCTCTCTTTCTAAAATATCTCAAAAACAAAGTACAAAAGATATTTTAAAAACTATTAACCAAGATTTATCCAATTCGGCTACTCCATCATCATCTACTTTGACCCATAGAATATGTATGAATGTTAATGCTATTGCCAAAAATGTAATGGCAAATTAGTTGATCCTCATACAAAAAATCGATATTCTTTAACTACTAGCCAACAGTTGTCTCAAACAAGATTTAATGAATTAAGGCAACCAACTCGGATTGCTTCAGAATTAAGTGGCCTAAGTCAACAATTGGTAACAACAATTAATTCAAGCTCAGATAATGAACTTTAATCTGGCCCTGATAATGAACTTCTATCTAGCCTTGATATGGATAACTTATCATTTTTATCAAGAAAATGTTATCAAATATCAACTGCTAAAATGATAGCTTTGAATCCAGAAGAACTAGCTACAACTTCAGGTGATGAAAGTAGTGACGATAGTATTGTACTAGATTATAATAATAGTGATGATGATAATAGTTCATTATCTGAAGAATTGGCCAAAGATATCCAATATAGTAATATTAATAATTTTGAAGATTATTCAGCACCAGATATTGATTATGAAAAAAAATTTTAGTCTAGCTCTAGAGTATCATCTATTTTTGATAATATATTAATTTGGCTATTAAAATATCAAAGCCAGTTTAAAGTTT